CAACGGGAGCCGTCTGGGTGATGCGGGCGGCGAGAGCAGCTCGACGCTTGGCACGAGCTCGGCGAGCGTCAGCCATGGATGCGAACGATCGAACACGGGACAGTGGAAGAAAGATTCCGGCGCACCCCTACCTGGCATGCCAAATGTCGGATATCGGGTTCCGGCAAAACCCTTAAGGTTCGAACTCTGGGGTGCGTGCGAAGATCTTTCCCCTACCAATCCACGTCCCAATGCCTCGAAGTGAATCTAAGCTACACGATGAACAACACAAGGGACACAAGGTTTATACTGGTTCGGGCCACCGTTGTGGTGTAATACCCTAATCTAGTGTATGGTGTGGTGGATTGCCTCAAGGGCTGATGATGAATAGTATAGAGGAAGAACAACCTCGCGAGAGGTGTTCTTGGGCTGGTGTGCTTGGAGAGGAATTGCTCCGTCTTTGTTGGCTCTAGGTCAGATCCTGATGCCTTCTACCGTGATGGCTAGCTCTATATATAGAGGCCCTGGTCCTCTTCCCAAATATTGAGCGGGAAGGGAGCCAACAACGGCCATTTTGAAGGGGAACATCTAGTGCAAGTTATCCTGACTAAAGTTGGTCTTCGGCTGCCAATGGCACTAGTGATGACGCCGTCTTGGGCTCCATGGTGACCTCCATCCTGCCGCTCCATTGGTCTTGGTCTCGTTGCACCGAAACGGTAACCTTTGCTTGATGCCTTGGTACTCTACGCCTGCGCTTTTCCCCTTTGCACCAAAGAGAAAACAAGGACATTGCGCAGGCCGGCGCCCGCCTGGCGCCCGCCTGGTCTTGATTGTCATGACTTGCGTCATGGGCACCTCGCGAGGTACCCCTGCCTTGATCTCTCCGCCTCCTCACGAGCCTGCCTGGTGAGGCCGTTCCTGAGGAAGCCTTGCATCGTCCGCCCCGCGAGGCTTGGCCCCTTGTGAGGGTCTTGAGCTTGAGTTGATGAAGATGGGACGGACTGGGCCACCCCTTGAGCCACGTCGCAGGCCGCAGGCAGGCAAGTCTGGGGACCCCCGTTCCCAGAACGCCGACAGACCCTGCTCGGCGGCTCAAGGAAATCCTGAATACTGCTACCATCGGAACAACCCCCAAGCCCGTCGTCTTGCGGTTGATATAACGAATCCGTCTCGCCTGTGGACGACTCATCATCCGAATAGATGGCCGTCTCACCGCCAGATGAAGATCCTTCAGAGAGTCCTCCATGGATGCATCCCACAAAGGCACGCTTCACAGCTGGCAGAGCCCGGGCGGGTCTCGCACGTTGATCCGTCTCGACGAGGTCGGTGCAAATGTCCGGCTCAGGGCCCGGCTCGCCAATCTTGCCGATGAAGACGTGGATTCCGCCGAAGGGGACCAGGTACTCGTACTCAATTGAGCCTGCATCATCGATGTAGAGCTTGTCGCGATGACTCTAGGTCATCCGGCCCACAATGTATCCCTTGAGCCCTTCGAAGTTGCCCTTCAAGAACTCAAATTCACCGTGCGCTGGCCCCACGGTGGGCGCTAACTGTCGTGGAATTGTCACATCAGATGTCCTAGTGGAAGGACTTAGTCGTGGAGCCATCGCAGCTGGAAAGCTTAAAGGGGTTAATTTGGACAAAGGACACGAGGTTTATACTGGTTCGGCCCCTTACGGTGAAGGTAAAAGCCTACAGTCTAGTTTTGAGTGGGATTGCTTATGACTCGTTAACTAGATAGCGAATCGCTTGACCTAGCTCTCGATCTGATGTTACTTCCCCTGAACCGCCGTCGGGTCATCCTTTTATATACAAAGGTCGACGCCCAGCGGCTCACAGTGTCCCGGCCGGCTCATAAACAGTGTCCGGCTCGGTCTCTTAACTATTCTTGCCTTACAATACAAGTCACGCTCATATGGCGATTTATCACTACGGGCCTTAAGTCGCCTCTGGGCTTTGGGCCCTTAACTGAACCGTCATCTTCAACCTTGGTCTTGGGCTTCAACAATACTTGCAGGTATAACCCGGCCCCTCCTGGGTGGGTCATACCAACACCCACCATAATCACCCCATAAAATCTCCATTACCCGGAAATATAATGGGAAAATAAAAAAAACAAACCGAAAACAGGGAACCAACAGAGAACACAATTACCGCCTAAGAACAAGGGCCGCCCTAGGCAGGCGGTAGCAGCGACGGCGTGGGGAACCGCGGCGGGGCGTGCACGGCAACGCCGACGGCCGGTGAAAAAGGAAACATGTAACAGAGCAAAAAGGCCAAGTGGCGGCGTCGGGGACGGCGACGCGAGAGAGAAACAGATCTCAGAAACAAATCAAAACTATAATACAAAATCTTAAATATTTAAGGACTAAAGTGAAAAAAGGAAAAACCGAAAACACGGGAGCGCTCCTCGCGTGTGACAAGTGTCGCCCGCGGAGCGCCATGAAAAAGTCTGAGGAGCGCTCCGCGCGTGACACTTGTCGCGCAGGGAGTACCCCTAACTGACCTTTGTGGGGAGTAATCTTCAACTAGTGATTTCGCGATCAAGAGTGATCTATTTTTCTTTCGAGGGAGTGCGATCCAGAAGGAAAGCTTTGCTTTTGAATGGGCCGGCCCAATTGTGCGTGCGTGTGGGTGTGAAGGTGCTTCTTCAGGCTTTCCAGGCAGCCTGAGCCGGCCGGAGCGATCCGGCCCGCCATGAGCCGGCCTGGTTGGCGGCAGCAGGTCTCCCTGCCAGTCTATAAAAATCCCAAATCCTTCAAAAAAGAAAGAAACTTCCTAGACGGCGGCTTTGGAGTCGAGGGCGCTGCTATTTGAGCCTCAAGGGGGCTCCGGCCGCGAGCGGGTAGGGCTTCGGGATCAAGGTATTCGTGATGGCCGACATCGCGTACAGTTCATGCTGCGTCAATGAGGTTGGGGCATCACGCGTCGTCAACTGCGCGCACACCCGCTTGAACCCGTGAGTTCGTGCCCTCCTATTGTTTGCCGCGCTCAACTATTCTGTTCCAATTTGGGATTCCTGTTCAAATTGCAATTTTTATTGCCACGCTCAACTATTCTGTTCCAAATTTCAATTTTACTTGCACGCATTTTTTTTTCAATTTTCCTTTCTGCTGATTGCATGTTTTTATGTTCCTTTGCACTTTTTTGCGCCAAGCCGCCAAGTCACATTTTTCTTCTTCTTTTGTTCAATGTTCCGTTATCTCTGATAGTGAAACCCGATCCAAATGCCGGATCGAATGCAAAAATAAAATAAAATAAAATGTACTGCTGATTGCCATCTTCTACTTTTGCTGCAGAGAAGCTTCCATGTTCGAATCAAACCGCGCAGATCACTCCAAACTTTCCACCATGGATTGCCCACCTGCTGCTAATGTCGGAATCCACAGGTACGCATATTGCTCGCTTGGAATTTGTAGTGTGATCTTAACAGTTCTAGTGATGACATGCAAATTTGACGTTACTCTTAGGGATTCCATGGAGATAAGTTCCGGTGATAGATTCGCAGCTCTGAGTAGCATTGGGGGGGAGTATATCTGCAAGGATAAGCTCCCCCTCCTTCTGAAGAAGAAGCTCGCACCCATCTGTTACGTTTGGTTTGAACCATCTCACATGATGGAAATAGAGCAGGTATATCAACAAACTTTTTTGTTGTAGCATTCTTCTTAGTTGTTACTGGAACTTGAAGGCTTAAAGCATCGAGGAAGGATAATATTATACCTGGTTTTCACTTGAATCTATCTTTATGGCATCTTACTATGCCCAGCATGAGATTTTCATACTTTTTAGTGCAGTTTAACATGATGATAAACTAGAAGATATACAATTGAGTCTGCATGCGTAGTCAGACCGACAGCATAGATTTGAAAATAAATGTAGAGTTTATTCATGTAGAAGATATACAATTGAGTCTACACGCGTAGTCAGACCGACAGCAGAGATTTGAAAAGAACTGTAGAGTTTATTCATGAGTAAGTTACGCTGCATTTTTTTTAACTTAAAACTGGACTTATGTAGAAATATAAAAAACTAATATGCTTGTTTGTGGAAATTTTGAACCAGTACCCTGTTTTTAGAGGGGAAAACTTCTCTGCACAGATGTCATAGTTGGATCTTGGATTTAGATGAGCGGTATTACATATATACTATCAAGTATCAATGGTGTCTGGGGAAGGAACCCGGTTTTAACGGCGTCGAATTTCGCAAAAATCATGAGAAGAAATACAGGAACATTATGACCATAATGGAGAGATTGCACAAACAATATATATATATATGCCCTGTGTGCTACAAAGCGCTCATAGTGACATAAATTCTGTGATACGGGTACGGGGACATGGGATACTGCAGTTTATAGACATCGATACGATGAATATTTATAAATAATCAATAAAATGCCATGTAATAAAGAAAATAAATAATTGGATGCGCGAAATGAGATCAAAATACTCTGCTCCATTTGTTGCCTCTTTAACTCCTCAATGACTGAATGATCACCAATTTCCTCAATCCTCGTGGTACTTGCAAATTATCATACATGACAATTAGAAAACAATAAAAAAGCTGGCTTGTAGCTTGCTTATGTAATGAATATATGCTTCCTGTGTCCCTGCCGTGTCAATGATGTCCCCACACGCGTATCGGCAATTTTTTTCTTATTTTAATCGCTTCCGTATCGTAGGCTAATTGTATGCGGCCACATTGGACATGCACCTATCGGTGCTTCGCAGCCTGGGTGAGCTGAAATGTTCATTCTTTTTACTAGGGCACGCAAATTCATGTTTTGCGGTTGCTCCATTGGATCTTGTTATATTATTGTAGTGATGTTTGAGTTTTTTTTTCATAATTTTTGGAAAATTTTAAACCGTTGAGACCTTAACGGGTTATCCAGACACTAGCGATAGCTACAATTTGATGCACCTATCATCTTTTGCATTGCTCAGGATATCATTTTTCTGATGTTTTAGCTTATTACTTATTGCTCAGGTCCAGTTTGTTCTAACTTGTTACATTGTCCACAAATGTATTGGGTGGATGGACGTGTTCTCGTCTTGCAAGGGATTATGAAGACGATCTATGTAAACAAGATAGTCCAAGCTGGTTGCACAGTTAAAATATTGATGGCAGATTGGTTTCTGCAGCGACATTTCAAGATTGGCACTGACCTGAATAAAATACGGAACATTGGCAACTACAATATTGAGATGTGGAAAGCAACTGGTATGAACCTTGACAAAGTAGAGGTTGTATGGTTGTCAGATGAATTGAATTGCCACGCGGTTAATTACTGGCCACTTGCGGTTGATGTCTCCAGAAAATACAGCATGGAAAAAATGGCAAGGTATCTCTTATTTTAACTTGTTCAATTGCAAATCATTTGTTGTTCTTATAACAATCAAGTTAATTTACTGTTTGCCGAGCAGTTATTGTCGGAACAGGACATATGGGCCACAAGGACTACCTGCTGCTGAGATTTTCTACCCTTGCATGCAGGTTGCTGCTATATTATGCCAGAAGGTTGGTTTATCTAATACAGGATTGAAAAGAACATTATAATTTTTGTTTTGTTTGTGCTCTTAGCAATATGAATTCATGGCTTGTACAACCACACCAGATTTTGACCAAATCAGTCAGTGGAGGGTACATCTTAGACATGTGAAAGAGAAGTCTTCATGGATTTCTCTATTACCTCTGTGGCTACTTCAGCAGTAGGGAACCAGAGATGTTGAGTGTAGATCAGTAGGCTTCTCTGTTTCTTTAAATAGTGATTACTGCATAAACACCATCCTTTGAGGGAAAATGCTCTGCCGCTCTTAGGAGCCACACTCGCGTGTATCAGTAGCGCTGGTTGGACTGGGGATCTCCATGGACCAATGGTCGGCTCTGATTCACATAGGTGTAGCTCCTATGAGCCTAAAGTCTGTGTCCATCCTTCCATACCTTATTCAGTTCCCAGTATAATTTATCTTGTACATATATAGAAGCTTGGAAACAAAGGATGTAGATTTTTTTAATAATCGGAACATAGTTGCTAGGAAATCATGCAAGGCTGATGCTTCCTGGGAGACTTGAATGAGCGATAGTGGCTTGCAAGTTCTAGTTAAACCATTTATTTTTCTTTTTGCACCTTTGCGGCCAGTTTTGCGATCATTGTATCCCATATGTTGGAATTGTTTGTACTGGAAACATAATTTCAAAACTTATGTTATTAGCTGTTCACAGCACATGTTAACTCAGTACATTTTGTTTTGGTTGTTTCAGGCTGACATATGGCTCTTCAGCATGGATCAGCGAGACATTGTCATGCTAGCTAAGGATTACTCCGAAGAAATAAATAGGGAAACCAAACCAGCTATCATACTGCATAGTATCCTAATTCAGATCTGTCATGTTTTTGTTCTTTGTGTGTTGTCCAGTTTAGTGTTTGGAGCTTTGATGGTGATATTGGATGCAATGTATCCTTAACTTGAAATACAGATACGTTACCTCTTTTACCAGAAGACCCTGACTTGAACTCGCTGAGATATCCAGCGCGGACTCTGTTCATGGACGATGCACAGGTATCTAATTATAATCATTTTGTGGTGGCAGTTGTAGTGGCAGATGGTTGAACTTTAGTACTATGGTTTTACCATACGGGTGTACCTTCTGCATATCCATGATAAATTTACACAAGTGTTTCAATTCAATTCTAGCACTCCCCTCCTTGCAATTGGTTGGTTATATAGCTGAAATGTAATCATGAACTAAAGTTATACCACTTTTACTTGACTTCCTACCTTCTCAATCAAACTTCTTAGCCATTTTTTCAGAAAAAATTCTGTCAAAACTTAATTGAACAAGTCAACAATTCCATTTGCTCACAAGAAATTTGTCCCCGGCCATATTTCCGCCCCCTCTGTTTGTCCACCACATCGCCTGAAGCTGTTGATGTAAACCATCTAGATCGCTAATGTAAAAATTATGGCATTCAATATATTAAAATCGAAGGGAATATAATCCTAGAAGTACGAAGAGCAATACAATTTAATCCTTGTAACACTGAGCCCTATAGACTTAACATCCCAGTTGTACTGGTACTAGTATAAATCCTGGAAATACAAAGAGCAACACAATTTAATCCTCGTAACGCTGAGCCTTATAGACATAACTTCCCGTTTGTGCTGGCACTGTATAAATCCTGGAAATACAAAGAGCAATACAATTTAATCCTAACAACGCTGAGCCCTGTAGACTTCACTTCCCGGAGAGAAGGTTATTGCCTTTACAGAAAATTTTCTTTTATACAAAGTTCCAGCTGTCGGGAGGTTGAGTCGTGGGATTGCCTGTGCAGTAAAGCAGTTTTATCTCAAAACGCTGTATTGGCTCCATTTGTTGGGTTCTTCTGAATGTTGATCAAGTAGTTAAAAATATAACATTTCTTTCATGGTTTTTTGGTTCATTCTGCCAGTGTGACCATCGATATGCGTATCTAATATATTACAGTTTTTAGCGGACAGTCAGATTTCTAATCTTTAACTCACGTGTTCACTGTTTGCTACATAATATTGGAACCGTTTGTATGAAATGCTCGTCTGTTTATTTCAGGAGGCTTCAAATAGGAAAATAGAGTTGGCTTTCTGCCCACCAAAAGTAACAGTGTCTAACCCATTTCTGGAGTACATCAGATATGTTATATTCCCTTGGTTTGGAAAATTGGAGGTAGCTGACAAGAAAGGGAATGGCAGTAGCAAGTAATATTCTTTCCCTTATCTACCAAATGTATTCCTTTCTGTTTCTTGTGAAAGGCTGGTTTTTAATTCAGCAGTAGGATGCACAAAATTATATATATCTCATCCATAACATCGTAATATGCGTGCACTCGTTAATCACATCAGCACCAAAGAAATGTGTGCCCACAAATGTAATATTCTACAAAATGAATAAGTTGATAATATTATGCTCCAGTATTTGTGATAATTGTTGTCTTATGCAGGACATATGCAAGCATGGAAGATTTTGTTGTTGACTATGGAAGTGGCAATCTTGATTCTGCTGATGTTAAGCTGGCTTTTGAAAAAGGAATAAACAGCATATTAAAGGTAACATTTGCATTCTTAATTGTTTGTATCCAAATCGTACCCAAAGTCATGTTGAATTGTTGATTACCTCTGCCAGTACAACTGTTTAGATTCTCTTCAAAAGGGAAGTTAGTATAGTTACTAACAAGGTGAGTCTAAACCACATGTCAACCAGACAACCTGTGGCGAGTACAAATTTCAGGCTACTACCTTTTTTAGATATAGTCAGACAACTTTGGCAAAAAAAAGAGACAGTCAGACAACCAAATAGCCATGTGTTTATGGCATGTGAGTGTTCTAGTTTATATCAACATGAGGATTAATGATAAATAAATGGGCAAGGTAACCAGCAAAACTGAGGGCTGATTTGATGGATCTTGCCAATATTAAGACCTGTTTTTTATCAAATATTCACTCGACAATTACATCTTCCATGTTTCAATAATATAGAAGTTCAATATATAATCCTCATTTTCTCGGAAGTAAAATATAGTGACATTGTAGAGCTATAAACTTTGGAGAAGGAGAAATTTTCGCTCTGTAGCGTAGGCCCAATCACTTTAATGCTGATGAATTGTGGCACATTTTCCTTTGCAACTCTTATCTTTTGTGGGGTGACAAGGAGATGTCAAAATAGGACCCCTGTAGCTCTTTCAAAACCGAATTAACTGATGCAACTTTTTCCTAGCCTGTAAAGTTGGGCCGAATTGTTAGTGTTCACTCAAAATTATTTCTGTTTTTCCTGACTTACAGAAGTGTGTGTTCTTACTTCAAAGCAATATTTTACCCTGACAATTTGTATGCACCTTTTGTCCTTCAAGCCTGTTCAGGATCACTTCATTAGCAACATTGAAGCCCAAAATCTATATTTCTCCTGTAAGGTACAATTATTGCTTACTGTTTGTATTTGTTTTGGTACAACACCTGAAAATGACATGTTTGAAGTTGGTAGAACTCCTGAAAATGACTTTAAATGTTTGAAATTGAGTGTGATGTTAATGTACTATCTTAACAGTTAACACCAAACAAAACTATGTGTAACAGCATTACGTATTGGATTAATCTGGTACTCCCTCTGTAAACTAATATAAGACGTTTTAGGTCACTACTTAACGTCTTATATTAGTTTACAGAGGGAGTACCATTTTGACTCGAGGCTTGCAATTCCAACAGCACAATAGTCATGTTAGCCCAAATTGCATGATCATCCGACGATGATATATCGATTGCCTATGTGTAAATGTAATGAGTATCTTAATATGTTCACCTGGTGTCCATGAACCTAGTTTTGTTGGTTCTGAACGGGGCCTGATGGGGCACTTAAGTAGGTGCTGGTAGTTTCGCTTACTAATCTACCAACATCTTCAGTAGGAGTATGTGTTAACTTCTGCAGGACCCATGCTTTCGCATATTGTAGACTAACTGTCAAAAAAAGGTAACATATGTCATCAGAAATAATTTGAACGAATAAAATTTACATGCAGTTATTTTGATCAGAGAACAGATAAATGAGATGTCTTGTTTGGGAAATACTAAACTTACAATGCGCCATCTGATAGAAAATGAAGAATGGGGCATATTGCAAGGGTTGTCTCATTCTTCCAACCATATTAAGCCAGAAAACATGGTGATGAGAAGCTTCTCTATCGCTTTCCCTTGTATTTGCCGGCCTGAAAGCTTGGGCGATGGGCGACTCCGCTGGCGCCTTCGCGGGCCCTTCCGCCGCCTCTGCCTCCGCGCCGCCGGCGCCCCTCCCCGCCCCTCCCCGCCGGCCTCTCCGGCCGCGGCCCCGCCGCCGCCCTCCGCGCCGGTCGCCCCGGCGGCTCCCTTCCGGTGGGC